TTTAGAGGAGGAAAGAGTCATTGAAAGGCACATTCTTCTGGAAGCTCCTGATCCTGACGACACCAGCAGAGACCACCTGCAGACACCAGAGGATCACCTACGACCAAGAGAGCAGCTGGTATCAGTAAATAAATAAATCAGGGCAGTTTTAGTGGGCTGAACACATTACAGAATCATTTTCTCATGGGGTATTTTCATAACTTTCTCTGCAGCAGACTGTAACTTTAGCCCAGGGCTCCTGGAGAGCTGCTATCCAGCACGTTTCAGTGGTTTTCCTGCTTTAACAGGTTAGATTAGCTGTTCAGCAGCTCAGCTATTTGTTGCTGATTAAAACCAGGTGTGTTGAAGCAGATAAACCTCTAAAACATGCTGAATACTATAGCTCTCTAAGGCCATGGAGCCAAACCCTGCAGCTAGTCTAATGCTATGGCAAACAGCTACTTACCATTCAGAGCTGGTTCTGTTGGGTCAGTTCCGGTAATTTCAGGCAACTCACAAGCTCAAAACAATAAGGCTCAGGTCCGCTTGTCTCCTCCAAATAGACTTTGTCCCTTTCTTCTCGAGTGTCTGGGTAAGGAGGGGGAGAAACGTCCTCCACTTCTAATGACTTCTCAGAGTGAAGGGAGCTAGCATCATCTCGTTACCCATCGTCTTCGTCACTGCCGCAGCTCCGCCCTCTCAGTCCGCCAGGCAATGCCTACTAATGATGCAGTTTTTAAAATTGATACGTGGGTGGAGAAGGACTCGGCTGCACGATTGACCTGCTCTTTAATGGGCCATTCCCATCTGTACCGGGTCGGCCCGGGCCAGGTAGCGTAGGTTGTTTACATATCTGGGTGGCCTGGTATTTTTCCGGGCCAACCAAGGCTCATTCTCAGCCCTCTTCTCGAGGGGGTCTGTTTCAGGCCGACCAGGGCCAACACACCCACTGCTGATGTCACACCCTGTCCTGTCTCCCCATTTGGTTCAGCCTGTGTCTCTGTTGATTGCTCCCACCTGCCTCTCGTTTCCCAATCACCCAAGATCCCAGCCCTCTTGTATTTAAACCCCTCCAGTTCTGTGTCTCTTGTTGCCTCATTGTTCCCATGTCCTGCGTGTATTAATTATTAAAAGACTTTACCTGTCCCAGGTTGTCTGCCTGCCTGATTCCTCCCCAGCGTTTGGATCCTTACTTCCACTCCACTCACCAGCGCGTCATGACAGAATGAGGCAAACCAGTAAAGGATCCAGCGGGGAGGTTCTCCCTTGAGAGTGCTTGCCCCAGTTTTTAACTGCGGACCACCGGCCGGCTCCTCTTCCTCCGGCATCGCCTCGCCGCGGACGCCGCCGCCGAGCCCAGGCTTCGGCGATCCTCTCCACCCTCCCGGAGCCGGAAGGAGAGTTGGACGGGGAGGCGCAGACGGACCGCTCCTGCTATGTGGGCACCAGACTGGCTGTGTGCTCCCCCGGAGTTGGCCCACGGCGTTTGGAAGGATGCCGGGCTCCACCATCACCCCTTGTCCCCGGACGGAGCCACAAGCTCGCAGCTGCCCCGGCTCGGTGCACCGGCTTGGACCCGCCCCCAGTCGGATCAGCTGTCCCGTCTCCGGTCCAATCAGCGCCTCCGTCATCTGCAGGCGGAGGAACCACGCCTACAGCCCAGCTGACGGAGCTCGCCGGTCTCCAGGCGGAGCTTGGCCGGATCCGTCAGCTTGTCAGCCTGCGGGAGTTCCAGCTGGACACCCTGTCCTCCCTGTATCTCCAGGGGAGGGTTTCTGTCCAGCCAGCGGCCCTGCCTCCGGTCCAGTCAGCAGCTCTCTCATCTCCAGGCCAAAGGACCAAGCTCGCAGTCCATCCAACAGAGCTCGCCGGTCTCCGAGCTGAGCTGGACCGACTCAGTCAGATCCTCAGTCTCCAGGAGTTCCAGTTGGACAATCTATCCTCCCTGCTTTTCCAGTTACCGGCTCCACCAGGTCCCGCGCCACCAGTCCAGTCAGCGCCAGTTCCAGCGGTGGTCCCAGAGGTCGCACCGCATCCAGTTCCGGCGGTGGTCCCGGAGGTCGCACAGTGTCCGGTCCAGCCTGTCCAAGCTGTCCCGTCTGCAACAACTCCTCCTCCACTCCAGAAGCCGGCGGTCCACAGGCCGGTGGTCCACAGACCGGCGGTCCACAGGCCGGCGGTCCAGAGGCTGGCGGTCCAGAAGCCAGCGGTCCAGAAGCCGATGCTCCCGGACCAGAAGTCGACGCCCCCGGACCAGAAGTCGACAATCCAGAAGTCGACGGACCATAAGTCGACACCTCCGGACCAGGAATCGACGCCCCCGGACCAGAAGTCGATGGTGGTCGACGCCTCTTCCAGTCCTGTGGTCGACGCCTCTTCCAGTCCTGTGGTCGACGCCTCTTCCAGTCCTGTGGTCGACGCCTCTTCCAGTCCTGTGGTCGACGCCCCCAGGCCAGAAGTCGACGCCCCCAGGCCAGAAGTCGACGCCCCCAGGCCAGAAGTCGACGCCCCCAGGCCAGAAGTCGACGCCTCTAGGCTAGAAGTCGACGCCTCCAGGCTCGAAGTCGACGCCTCATCCACTCCTGAGGTCGACGCCCTCTCCAGTCCGGAGGTCGACGCTCTCTCCAGTCCGGAGGTTGACGCTCTCTCCAGTCCAGAGGTCGACGCTCTCTCCAGTCCAGAGGTCGACGCTCTCTCCAGTCCAGAGGTCGACGCACTCTCCAGTCCAGAGGTCGACGCCCTCTCCAGTCCAGAGGTCGACGCTCTCTCCAGTCCAGAGGTCGACGCTCTCTCCAGTCCAGAGGTCGACGCTCTCTCCAGTCCAGAGGTCGACGCTCTCTCCAGTCCAGAGGTCGACGCTCTTTCCAGTCCAGAGGTCGACGCTCTTTCGTGTCCAGAGGTCGACGCTCTTTCGTGTCCAGAGGTCGACGCTCTTTCGTGTCCAGAGGTCGACGCTCCCTCGTGTCCAGAGGTCGACGTCCCCTCCAGTCCAACGTCTCCGCCGTCTCCAGTCCAGTGGTCGACGCCGTCTCCAGTTCCAGTGGTGGTCCCGGAGGTCGCACCGTGTCCAGTTCCAGCGGTGGTCCCCGAGGTTGCACCGTGTCCAGTTCCAGTTCCAGCGGTGATTCCAGAGGTCGCACCGTATCCGGTCCAGCCCTTCCACGAGGCTCCGGTCCAGCCCGTCCATGAAGCTCCGGTCCAGCCCGTACAAGAGGCTTTGTCTCCGGTCCAGCCCGTCCAAGAGGCTTTGTCCCCGGTCCAGCCTGTCCAAGAGACTTTGTCCCCAGTCCAGCCTGTCCAAGAGACTTTGTCCCCTGTCCAAGAGACTTCTTCCCCGGTCCAGCCTGCAGATACTTTGTCCCCGGTCCAGCCTGCAGAGCCTTTGTCCCCGGTCCAGCCTACAGAGACCATGCCCATTGATCCATCCAAAGGGTCGACGTCTCCAGTCCAAGAAGATGACGTCTTCCCCTCCTCTCAAGAGTTCCAGTCTCAAGAGTCTTCGTCCCCATCTACGTCCTCTCAAGAGTCTCTAGTGCCCCATGTTTTTCAGTCTCCTGTGTCCTATCCTCGCCTCCTCCTCTGCCGCAGACGCAGGCCCCCAAGAGCCCGTCGCTGCCTGCTCTGCCACAGACGCAGGCCCCCAAGAGCCCGTCATCGCCGCCTCCTCTGCCACAGACGCAGGACCCCAAGAGCCTGTCGTCGTCGCCTCCTCTGCCCTGGACGCAAGCCCCCGGACTCTGCTGGTCCCTGCCTCCTCTCCATTGGCCCTCTGATTCCTCCCCAGCGTTTGGATCCTTACCTCCGCTCCACTCACCAGTGCGTCATGACAGCTGACAGCAAATTCACACCTTCCATTAGAGCAAGCTTCTGATTGGTGGGTAGAATCAGCCCACATGGGCTTAAGACAAGGATGTGTGGAATCAACCGGGCCAGGCTGGGGCCGACTGGGGCTACCCGGCCCGGGCCGACCCGGTACAGATGGGAATGGCCCATTAGTAACCTGACAGCAGCCAGATCTCTGTGTAGCCCCGCCCCCTGTCGAGTCTACACATTTCCCCTGAGTTTGGAATTCATCTTCATCTTGCAGCACGTTTTGGGAACAGTTCTGCAGTAACCATCTGGCGGTGTGACATGAGAATGGTGACTTGGCGCTCCCTGGTGGTCATACGTGGATGGTGCATCTGAAATTAGCCCGGTCCCACAACAGCAAACATCAGTCTGGATTATCAGAATAATGATCGATGAGGCTATTGTTAACACATTCATAACGTGAATACTTTTCTAATCCGTGTTTCTCCTGAAAACACTTTGTTTTTGACTAGAAATACGATGAAATATTTACGTTTTAGACACATTTTATCTAAACACGTTAGAGACTTATGTTTAGTGAGTGTTTTTATATTATTTTCTTCTGCCTGCTTGAATTTTGCTGTTGGTTTTAAAAAACAAGGAATGTGACTCGAAATTACAATAAAAAATATATTATTATATTTTTCATATAAATTCATCATTTCTTTTATTATCTGCCCATGAACCATCATTTCGTAAGGAAGCAAATGGATAAGAAACATGTTAGTTGTACAAATTTATTTAAAAACCTCGTTATTCATACCTTCCCATAACAGAGAATGCAAATCTCGGCTGGCATGCTCTTTTCGGCACACCTGTTAAATTACGCCCCACCAAACAAGGAGTGCATTAGCATAGTCCAAGCCAGAGGTGATGAACCATGTATGACTGATCCCAAGTGCCTGTCTCAAGATTGGTTTTAGACGATGTACTGATGAAGAACTCACCTCTGAGTTTATCTGAGGGGCCATTGGCTGGTCGGCATCCAAAGACTCGCTGATAGGGTTTAGATTATAAAGTTTAAGCAGAAAGACAGCCAGAGGGATTGCGAGGGTCAAAAACGACTGACTTAATTTTTTACTCCTTTAATTTAAGGATACTGGCAGCCCGGCACCCCTTCACATCAGCCAAGAGTGCCGACACTTGAGAGCTCATGCTGAGACCATTCACTACCACATGGTGTAGATGTGAAAGGTAAGACCATGCTGTTCCAGGACTTTTACCTCTTCTGATCTAAATGCAATATTTAACTTTGTTCTCTTCCCTTATTGAGGAAATGATTTGATGCACACACTCATGGATGGGAAGAATATCATGTTTTTAATGTAAAAACCTGAAGCTTTAGAGGATAATGAAATGGCATTAAGAGCTTTTATCAACCATGTGAATTAAAAAAAAAACAATGCTGTGTCATCAGCAAACTGGCTGATCCTGTTTTCTCTGTTAAAGATATTAATTACCCTGGACTAATACTGGTTAATAGTTGAGTAGTACACATTAATAATTTGGGGGAAATTGGACAACCTTGCCGAATAACTCTGGATTTTAAATCAGAAGTAAGTTAGCTTAAACAACGTTATAAAACATCATAATCATTTGTCCCTGTCACGCAGAACAATGTGTTCAATCGTAACAAACGCCTTGTAAAAATCAAGGAAGGAAATAAAGTTATCCTTTTCTTCAGTCTCGATAATCTAATAAATCAAATATGAATCTAATATGAGCACAGACGTTCCTCCCTTTAACAAAGCCTTTCCTCAGCCCTTCATGTAGTCGGTCAGCAAAGACATGAGCTAAAACAGTCATCCAGTCATCTTCGTGTCTCTCTGAGGTTTGGGGATCAAAGGAATTATTCCTTTCTTTGTACTATTTGAATGGTTACCGGTTGAAATACCGTCTAAAAATGCTTTTTACAACATTTTTCTAACATCGTTCCAGAAGTTTGAGCCCTTCTGGACCAGGTGACTTTCTGGAGGACATTGCTAAATCAGCCTTAATTCCACGATGTCATCTAGCTCTTCAGATAATATTTCAGTCTTCCCACTGACATTATTAATATTATAAAGCTGCTTTTCTCTTTCATTTTTTTTGCTTGTGTCAGTTGCTAATTGTCATATTTTAGATTGAAAGCATTCCTATTTACTTCCAGGTGACATTCCCAAGTCATCAGCTTCTGCTACCAGTTGCAAAAACCTGAGTTTTCCAGTAGAGAGCTGTTGAATTTCCAGATATGATTAAGGGTGAAGCAGAGATTTCACATTTACTACATAATTTATCAGTGAAGTGGAAAGGAGCCAATAATCTATTCTGGAGCTCAAGACATTCCCAGAACCCAGAACCAGGAAAACAGATTTCCAATCATCCAATCCTCCACCAATCAGATGGTCCTATTTTTCTGACACTGGCCCTGGGTGGATGAGTTGGGACCGACGAGGAGCTTTGAAAGGCTTGTCACAAACAAACCCGCTAACATTCACCAGCTTTCTGCTGTGAAATTCTCCCAGTTAACGCTCAGCGACCAATCAGAGAACGGCTTCCCATCAGAGCCCGCACAACTGCTCACTCCACCATTTCTCCCCTCACGTTGGACATGTCTGGACATCTCTCCTCTGATTGGCTAACAGCAACATGACTCTACCACTGACTGTTGCTCTGCATCGTTGATGTTTAATCTTCACAAATAACACAAGCCTGGAGTTCTGCTGTGTGGTGGAGTTGCTGATGCTAACAGTTAGCTTCTACTAGCTGAGACGTTCTGCGCCGTTTCCTGGACGCTAAACCAACAACAGCCTTCCTTGTTGTCCTGATGGGTTAAAGCCATATATGCAGCTTTTTATATTTTCAATGATTTCCTTGAGCCTGTATGTGCTAATGACCCTTTACAGGGTTAACGTAATGTCACTGAGACCCCACCACCCTTAGTGGTCAGAATGCCGCACTTGCAACTTCAGAGTAAGTCCCTGTTGGACTTAGCAGCTGAAAACTCACCTGTTCCAGCTGGCTTTAGCGTGAGCTTCTCCCAGGGTTAGAGGTATTTCCCTTTCCTTACATTTTTAATCACACTTTTTTTCTCATTTCAACCATATTTTTAATTTTTTTATATTTTAATTTTGTGTTCTTGTGAAAGGCCTCGTGTTTTTTATGTGGCAAGGTGGAGAAACAAGGACCCGGGTGGGATTCGATCCCCAGACTCCCGGGAGGGAGTCGCACACACACTAACCAGTCATACGTGGCCAGGGTTCATGACCAGTCGGTATACACGAGAGGCGCTGTATATACCGTTGTTTTCTTTTATTCCTTTCAGTAAAATGGAGCTGGTGTGCGTGGCGCTGCAGTCTGTTTTAGATCCGCTGATTTGTTTAAGATCACTCCTGTAGACACTCGTGAAGGCTGAGGAGACATTCCAGTTAGATCAAGGCGTTAAAGAGAATAACGGACTCTAGGGGTGATAAAGGGAAGCCTCAAGGCTTTGCTAACCCGAGTTTCAGGAGCTAATGCAGACTTTCTTCACGTTCAGCCTGCTTTATAATTAAAATAATCATTCAGTGAACCACACGTTTAAAAACCCGAGAACCCGAGCCAACACTGGAGAAGAGCTGTTTTCAGAAGACATTAATTTATTTAAGTGCACAAAATAAATACAAAAAATGTTTCAGAGCATCCGGCAAACTA